CATTACTACACCATTTTTTTTATCAATAAAATATTTCCACAAAAGCAGCTTTATTATTGTGAATTTGGCTTAAGATATCCTTAATATTTTGTCATTTTTTGTGAATAACTATATTTTGGATGCTTAACTGGTATTGTCTGAATGAAATAAGTTGATATTGTTTACACAAATGCTTCAGGAACTCTAGAAAGAAATCTGCAGATTGGAAAACCAGGTATATGTTTTAGAGATATCAAATCTTGTAAATAAACAACCATCTGGCAACAATGTCAGGGCTTATCCAGCTGCATAGAAAAGTGAGTGGTTTACATCAGTTTAAATAGTAAATTTTGCCATATAAAGGTTCATAAAAATGCTTGACAGAAGAAAAAATAGCATAAGCTCACGCCTGATCGATGGGTATCTAGCTCAGCAGGAGTGAGAAGTTTTTCGAATAAATTCTACAGAAAGAATTTACATCAATCTTTTGTAACAGAATACCAACATAGCTACTTTAGAAGCATCAGTGATCAAAAAATATCTCATGATTATCATCAATGTTCCTATAGTGGTTTGTCCAACATATTGATTGTAATTTATCAAAAGCTCTTGGCAATCTGATTCCAAACAAAGGGAACATGTCTTTTAGTTAAGTGTACTATGGCTGAGTGATCTCAGCAAAATTATGGATTAAATGTCTATAATAGTTTCATCATGCCAAGAAAAGCTGAACTTGTTTTACATCCTTTGGAATAGGAAATCTTGTAACCTTTGAAATATTTTCTCAGAAGGAGAAAAACCGCTGTGTGATATTGAACCCAAATAAGTTATTTCAGATTTACAGAGCTGCACTTTAGCTGGATCTAGAGTTAAATAAATGATTTTAATCTGTCAAACACTTTTTGAAGAATTACTTTTAACTCACTCATACTATCAGCTCAATAATAATGGCGTTAGAAAAAATTGAACATTACTACCTTTAATGTCATTTAAAAACATTTTGAAATTAATGTATGGAAATAAGAAGTGTTATTGCGAGCTCCAAAGGGAAGTCTACAAGGATGAAAATTACCCAGTTCGGTGCAAAATGCCAACTTTTCTTTATAGAGGCCGGCCAATTGCTGGAAAAGGCTGACTTCAAATCAGTACACAATACATTCCTACCAGCAATGTTATGCAAAATCTCAGAAATTTTTGGTAAACAATTTTGTATGATTCTGTGATACAGTTAATAGACGATAATCTAAACCATACGAAATTTTGGTGCATTTTTATCTTCACCAGGTAAACTCTTTTTCCGACAAATATTACAGGAAAATTATAACTTGAAGAAGAGGGTTCTATTATGCTGCTTCTAATAATTTTGCAATTTCTTGTTGAGCATACTGTTTTGCAATTTAGAATAGGGTAAGGTCTAGTTTGAATTGGGAAATTTGAAGAAGTTTAATTCTGGTCAACTTTATCAGTAGATCCCGCTAGGGTATGCTTATGTTAATTTTCAGCAGCCTGTTGATGCTGAAAGAGCGTTAGACACAATGAACTTTGACACTGTCAAAGGAAGGCCAATTAGAATTATGTGGTCACAGCGAGATCCATCTCTGAGAAAATCAGGTGTAGGTAATGTCTTCATAAAGAACTTGGACAAAAGTATTGATAACAAAGCCATGTATGACACATTCTCTGCCTTTGGAAATATATTATCGTGTAAAGTAGCAACTGATGAAGAGAGCACTTCAAAAGGCTATGGATTTGTTCATTTTGAAACTGAAGAAGCAGCAAATAACGCGATCATGAAAGTAAATGGCATGCTTCTTAATGGCAGAAAAGTTTTTGTTGGAAAATTCATCCCCCGTAAAGAGCGCGAGAAGCTCTTGGGTGAAAAAGCTCGTCGTTTCATGAATGTTTATATCAAGAACTTCGGTGATGATCTTGATGATGAAAAGCTGAGAGAGCTGTTCGAAAAGTATGGAAAAATAACAAGTGCCAAGGTAATGACTGACGAGCTTGGAAAAGCGAAAGGCTTTGGATTCGTAAGCTTTGAAGAACCAGAGAATGCTGAAAAGGCTGTTGAAGATCTTAATGGGAAAGAATTAAATGGAAAGACTTTATATGTTGGTCGTGCACAAAAGAAATCTGAAAGAGCAGCAGAATTGAAGCGTAGATTTGAATTGTTGAAAATGGAACGTATGAATAGATACCAAGGTGTAAATTTATATGTCAAGAATCTTGCCGATGCTATCGATGATGAACGCTTAAGAAAAGAATTTGCACCTTTTGGAACAATAACTAGTGCTAAAGTCATGACAGACGGAAATGGACGTTCCAAGGGATTTGGCTTTGTCTGCTTCAGCTCTCCAGAAGAAGCAACTAAAGCAGTAACTGAAATGAATGGGCGAATTGTTGTGTCTAAACCTTTGTATGTTGCTTTAGCTCAACGTAAAGAAGAACGCAAAGCTCATTTAGCTTCTCAGTACATGCAACGAATGGCCGGGACGCGCATGCAGCTGGGACAGATGTTTAACCCAGGAAGTGGCGGATATTTTGTACCAACTATGCCTCAAGCTCAAAGAAGTTACTTCCCACAAATGGCTCAAATGCGTGCAACTCCTCGATGGCCCACTCAGCCTCAGATGCGACCAGGAGGTCAACCAGCTGCAGCATTCCAAGCTATGCAGTCTGCTCCATTTGCTAGAGCAGCTGCACGTCCAGCAGTTGCAGCTTCGCAAAATCCAGGAATGAGAGCCGGTATGAATGCTCGACCCATAACGGCCAACACCCCCTGCTGCAGCAGCTGCTGCATCTGGAACAAGAGTTGCTGCAATGGGTCCTACTGGTGTAGGTGCTGCACGACCTACTAGTATGGCTTCTGCAAATGTCAATCAAAGACCAGCCACATACAAATATACTTCACGTTGTTTCCGCAATAACCCGAATGATAGGGATAAAATATGTGACCCACAGAGGATAGCAAATTAAAGTACTTACTCCAGACTTCGTGATAGTTGAAGACGAAAATACAAGTTATTCATCTACTATTTATCTTTCCTATCAAAATATTTTATTGCTGAGCTCCCACAAATAAACAAGAAAATTAAATATCAGATCATAACTATAGTCCTACCATAAATACAGAGCGTCCATTCGTTTACCGATATGCTACCGAGCACTATCCATTTGCATCACTTTCTATAGATCACGAAATATCTGGAATCGAAGAAATATGTAGACCCGGAATATACTTATCTAGAAATTTCTTTTGATTTTGAAGCTTCTACCAGTGAAGTAATTTGGAGCAGTCACCACGTGGAGATAGACAATGGATGAGTCTCAAATTGCACAATGAGATCGTTAAAATTCTTGTTTTAAATCTTCATTCCACCCAGGATGAATTTTCAGCAGCTGCATATAGAATGAAGATATTCAATAAAAAAACTACAGTTATCGGACTTTTCAGGAAAGTTAAACGTGCATCAACGACACGGCTATAGGTGAAGAGACAGTCCGTGAAGAACAGGCCGAACCCGTCCTTCACCCTTGAACTCCCGCCGCGAAGAGGAAAAAACCGGTCCAACAACTGCCACCAAGGGCTTGGACGAAACGATGACAATTCTTGAAGCGATAGTCTGATAGATGCCGGCTTGCTAGCACAACAATGTACTACTAATGTATGTTTTAAAATGCGTAAAATTAACGGCATGTTAATATGTTCTTATATACAATGTGAACTGTTATTTTAAATGTTAAGAAATACTATGATATGGTAAAAGTAAAAGTAATGCAAAAAAAAAAAAAAAAAAAAAAAAAAAAAAATTTAAAACTTATTCGTGTGACTGAAAAAAGACCAAATTATGGTGAATATGTGTTAAAGTTTGAATGAATGTAGTTAGGCTCTCTGACGCTACACTTCAGAGTTAGCCACTTTCAGAATAGTACCTCAGGGTTTAGAGTTGAAGATAGGGTGTGTTACGAGGTCTTGTTATGTTGAATTTTAACACGTTAGTGTTTTGATTGTAGACGGCAGTGTTAAACACGTATACATAAACTCATTCGTGTTTGGTGTTCTTTTACAACACATGTCAGAGAGCACGGGGAGAGATAATTAAAGTCATGAATGAAATAAGAATGTTAAGAGAAATATAAATATGCATGTTACTTGCCATTTCCTTGTGTAACATTTCATTAAACTAGTTTTCCTTCCAGATCTCTGGAAGGAACCAGATTTGAATAAAAGCTCCTGTTTAGATGCAGTACAGATGAAAAATTGGTTGTCCATGGAGCTGATATTGTAAAAACAATTTTTTTTTTAAATTTCTAGTTTCTAGTGAGAAATGTTTGTAAAAGATTGGCCTCGCTTTAGATTCTAGAGCTAAAAGTTTTCAACAAGGTCGTTTTAGACCTCAGTTTCAAACTAATTAACTCTGGCGGGAAGTATGTAAGGATCTTAAGTTTTACTAACGTTTATTTTATTTTAAATCTTTACTATCACTTCTTATTTTCTACTTCGGCCAGAATTAAAAGCGTTAACTTATTTATGCAAATTTGTCTGGCGAACGCCAAGTACTTAAGTTGTGGCTTTTTGCCAAGCGCGAGAGAGGAAGGAGAGTCGAAGCAGGCCGCTTACCTTAGCAGTTTTACTCGGTTGCTGGTTGCCTTCCAGGCCAGAGGTTTAATCCTCTTGATAATTTTAAACGTATTGTAGTGTTAACAGTTCTCTGTACTACATACGGCTTCCTGTTAATATACGGCCAAACTTCCACGTAGGCCCTTGTTTATTATTCCAAAGTTAAGTTAGAATTTAGTTAATATTTTTATATTCTTACGTTCAGACCACAAGTAGTTGGTCTCTGTATTCCGAAGTACGGAAATTATTGTAAAGAGTGAAAAATAAAGGGTTTCGTATACTTTCCTGTGTATCTTGTCTACTTCCCACATTTATTGAACATAGCTTTAGTAAGCTCCCTGTTCCGAGTCAGGTTCCTCAATGTTCCCAAGCAAGTAAGGAGAAACACTGAACCTGATAAGACGACCAGTTGCTTGTGCCAGTTTGACACAAGGACACATAGATGCCCGTTTATAATGGGCAAGAGAATACGTCTCATGGACCATTTAACAACTGGCGTCTGTTCTCTTCTACCAGACGAGTCCAAGATCGCCCTGGAGAGTGACTCAGGTCTTCGCGTGATCTGGAGGAAATAACGCACCAGAACTAATCCCACACTGTGGAAAGACACAGGTTTAAACGTGATGGAATAATGGTTTATGCTGAGATGCCTCTTGATGGTAACATTGACCTGCATATTCTCCATGGAGGAACTTTGATCGGTGTGAGATATCGAGACGAGATCCTTGATCAATATTTCCATCTATATACCACTGCTATTTGTCCTGCGTTTTTCTGATGGACGAAAATGCGCGACCGCACCGAGTTCGGGTTGCTGAAGAATATCTTGAGAGTCACGTTATGGAGCGGTATGTCACGGTATGTCAGCTCAAACACCAGACTTAAATCTGATAGAGCATCTTTGGGTCTACCTTGGGAGACAGTTTGCTACTTTATGTCCTCTTCCAAGGTTGTTAGATGAGCTTGAACAAGGATTACTCCGTGTCCGGTCGTTGCTTCTCATTTCACTGACCGACAATTTAATTGACAGCTTGGAATGTCGCTTCCGCCAATGTAGTGTAGCTAGGAGAGGACACATTCCTTATTAGAATCCATTTTTATAATGTTACCACACTTTTTCTCAAAAGATTGTAATGTAATATTTCTCCAAGAGTAGTTTTCTCTACGAAGAGTTTAGTTTTTTTTTTTTCTAATTTATGTTTGTGTTGAACTTTAGACACATTCTATGTCGCATTCATTAAATAACTATTTAGTGAACATGCCATCTAAATTTCTTGTTTTTATGTTGTTTTATTTTCATGTTAGACACAGAAAACATGTTCATAAAACTGTTCATGTTAGACACATGATGTTCCCTAAATTTTAGAGGGCAGCGTATGTGGTAAAAATATTAGTGTTTTCAAAGCTTAACTTTGCTATATAGGCATAATTCTATGATAAAGTGCAATAAATAATGTTACGGTATAATAATTGTAATTATTATTATAGCTTTATTGTATTTTATTGTATAATTTTCATTCCAATGAATTCTAGTATAGTAATCATAGTAATCCATAATTTACCATAATAAATGGTTATTATAATAATACTATAATTAATAATTATTATAGTCTCTTTTATCTTTGAATTAAAATATATGTACATTAATATGCTCTGAAAAATTAATTTCTTAATCTTTAGTTATAATAATTATACGACAATAAATGATTTTTACAGTTAGTTATTATAATTTTTGTGTGATAATTATTTATCATTATTATTATTATATACTTTTTCATAATTCATAAAACCATTCTTGTATAAAAGACCGCAAGATCGGCTAAAATCACGCTAAATCAATTTCGATCAGGGAAGATCAGAAAAAGATATAATGAAGAATGTTAAAGTATTCCTGGAGACTATTACTAAGTTAGTAAACATTGAATCATATAGTAAAGACTAATAAACTTTTATAAGATCTTCTTTCTACAAGATGGACGCATTTTTAACCTTTTACTGACCCCTAAATTTAAAACTGAAATGACAACTTTTGTGTTGTGTAGCATCGGCAAAAGGGATATTGCATCATGTACTATGTATACATTATTGCAAAAACACTGGTAGCCATTAAAACTGTAGTTCCAAGAATAACGCATCTGATCTATTTGAAACTTCCAGGCAACGAAGGTCACATGAGGCGATATAAATGATTGGTAGTGCATCATCTTTGGGAAATATCTGAGCCAGCAGCACTGTTCTAATAGAATTATAGAAAGGAGAAAGGAAAGGCTATAAGTGCTGAATTCTTGTTTAGAAACACCTTAGATTCATCGAAGGACCTTGAAGCTATATCAGCTGACTGTCTATGGTGGACTTTGAGAGATCAAAGCTACGGATTATCATTCAGAGGATATTACAAATAATGAAGGCAATACTATGAGTTACTGGTCTGATATGCAAAATAACTCTCAATCCACTAATTCCAGAAAGAAGATTTTTAATCCCGTCACATCATGTAGGAACACAATTCGCGAATGTAACTCATGGATTCAATAGCCACGTTAGGAATTAATTCTTGCTCAAAAAAGAGTTTGGGTTGTTTTGTAGTTTTAAGCTTTCGACTTTATTTGCAAAAGGTAGAAACTTTTTGAAAGTTTTCAGTATTTCAGCTTCCCGTGCTGGTTATGGTTGCAGTGATGCGTAAAATGTGTCAACCTTAATTCCTTTTGAAAAGGATCTCTCAGTTGTATAACAATACTATGATTTTTGGGTAAATGTTGTGCTGTAACCTAGCATCAGACTGAGTGACCTGCATAATTATTCATCAATTGGCTAGGTTGTTGTAAGGTTTGACACTAGATTACTGCCATGCTCATGTCTAACAAGAATAAAGGCCCTGCTCAGGAAATATAATTTCATTTCCGAAATTGAGCAGCTTTTTGTCTTTTGTCTTAAAGGCCAGCTGTCTGTTATTGAAAATCGTTGCTGTTGTAATGCAACCTCTAACTATAGCTACATTGCTAGCATGTTCGATGATTAGATTGGACAGGCCTTTCATAGTATCCATTGCAATTTGTTTACATCTGTCCATGATTGCCTATTGATAGATCAACGTAGATCACCCAAAATTACCGCAGAGGGTCTTTTTCAATATATCATTATGAATACGAGCCAGTATCTTTTCGAAAATCCTTCATGAATGCATCCAGACTTAGGTAACCCTCGCATGCTTTACTTTAATTTCTAATAATCCCGTCCAGTGCAGTCTGTACAGAAGCAACTATGTATTGCATCACTGGGAGCTACTTCTG